GGAACATCGCTTGTGACCGGCCGCCAGCCGGTATTCAGTACTGTGTTCAAAACAGTATGCTCATCTACTTACATACTCCCTCCCCCCCAATACTTCATTTGTTAGGAATCATGTCTCTTTTGATAGAGTTGTGGGTTCTTCACTGATCCTTGCAATAAGAACCACAAGGGTGACCACAGACATGACTGTTATCAAGTTCATAGGTAATACTTGTATAGATGAGAAAATTTTCTTCCTTTTGCTTTTTTCTTTTCAACTGTGCCTGCAACCGAGAAGCTAATACACTGGCGTATTCACACATCTACATGCTGTCCATGAATAATAAGACTTTAAGGACATGTGGGGCATAATGAAGCAAGGACTTACGCTTGGAATGTTTGTCACAGAGAGCCGATGCCCTCATGTCGCAGAGTCTCAGGGATCCTTTGCTGCTGCTGTAGACAAAGAGATTGCAGTGATGGGGATGAAACTCAGAGGCTGTAATCACTTCCGTCAGGTCCTCCATATTGGCTGGCTTTATATCTACAATGTCTGAATGGAAGTTTCATTAAAGAAAATGCAGTTGTTTGCAGGCAAACCATGATTCTTACTGCCTTCTTGAAGGCAGCATGATTATCTAAATGTCCATACATTTAATGTTTTTAGATAAAGATATACTCATTTCTTTGGCAGTAGGGTGTTTTTAAATTTCCATGCCTGCATCATCTATGCCAAACTCAAAAAGCCACTAGTCAACAATGGTTTTATAACAGGTGCCATTAGTAGGTCAACATTTGTCCATGCTGTGCAAAGACAGACATTGAAAAACAGTATTCCAGGGGATTTGGAATTCTTACCTTCATTAAAACTAGTAGAGAGCGGGTAGCTATGTCTCCTGTAGTTGCTATTGAAATCACTGCTCTATCCTAGATAATACTGACTGATAGGGAACAATGTACCGCTCAGATCTCCTCACTCCAGTAAAGGGTCACTGGCTTTTTTGATCACACAACTTAAGCTAAAAAATACACGTAGCTTAAGTTAAAAGCCTCAAACAATAAATGTATGTTTTTGCAAAGGCAAATGTGACAAACACAGAAGCATTTACGCAAACAGTTTCATGTGAATATATATTAATATGACATCCTTTCTAAAAAAAATTGTGCACAGTATTGGTTTTGCTACTTGAATGCTTGTGAAAGAAGTATCTGAAATGGCATTCTTGGGTTTTTATGTAAACGATGCTCACTGCTGAAATCAATATGAATTTCTGTGACTCAGAACTGTACATCTGAATCATTTAAGTGACAAATCTGAAACAAAGATACATTAAAGATCTAGTTTCCCAAACCTGTCAGTTGGATCACCAAAGATTATCCACATGAAGTATAGCTCACATAGTGCCTCTCCAACATTTATATATCCACTTATACATATCACCTGCCTTGGTGAGCTAAAAACCAGATGCAATTAGCATGTATTTGGAGGAGAAGGCCAGCCTGTGGAAGATTACTTATAAAGAAGACAGTGAAAGAAAGAGTCCCATGAGGAGTCTGTAAGAAAGCAGCAGATGCAGAAGCATAAAATGAAAGAAGGATATATATGTAATGCAGTACATTTAAATAAGATTGTACATTTTATATGGCCCTCAGCAATCCGCTGTAGATAAGTCATCCAAATGTTAACAAATCCTTCGAACAAGAAGAGTAACATTACCCTGTTTTACTGATGAGGCTGTGCGAGAGGCAATAAAGGATTTGCATAAGATCACATGGGAAATGCACGACAGAACAAACCCAGATCTACTGAGTCTCAGTTCAGTGCCCTAAACACAAATCATCTCAGTGCCTGGATTCCCTGAACATAAAAATTGAATCAGCTGACATTCAAAATTTAAACATCTCCGAGGATAAGATAAATGAGAAAATCTGTTTTACTGATGGCAAGAGAAACCACATCTCATGACACTAAGCCCGTTTCTGTTCCCACTGTGCCCGCTTCCCAAATGGAAGACCGTTAATTGATTTCTGTGGGAATGGGGTACAGTCTATCACCACCTTTACTCTCTATACTTTGATCTTTCCCAAAAATACAGATCTGGGACATTACATTGAAAATAAACATAATACAAAAGATTCAGAGATAATTATCTTGATGACTTTGCATGGACACATACATCACATTGGGTTTTTGGGGTTTTTTTTAATACCAAGTGGTTTAAAAAGGAAAATATCAGCAAAACTAGTAATATCTTGTGACATTTAATAACAAGTGGGAATGAATTAACATTGCATTTCAATTGCACTCCCACTTACTTGCACTATCACATTCGTATCCATCTCGAAGAATCCACTGTGATTAATATTAGTGCAATGAATGTTAAGATGTAGCAACACTGATTTACCCCTTCTATAAAGCATCACTGAACATTCTTGAAAATCAACAGGAAAGAATAACCTTTATTCAGTTATTTGTATTTGGTGAATCTGTCTCAAGAAATATCTTTAAGTAAAAGCAATTGCTTTCAGTGACTGAATTGCTTTCAGGAGTTCAGAGAAATTATAGTAACTCAATACAAGAATTTCACCTCTCAGCACAGAGATGAATAATTGCTAAGTGATGAGAAAGATATAAAATATAAATAGAGTATGTGAAACAGTCATGGTAAGTATCATTTTTCTGGCTGCTGAAGACAATATTGATGAATTTCCCTTCATTGTATGAAATGAATAACCCTATGCTGAATAATGAAATTAAATATTCCATGCTCCTGCCAGAAAAGCAGGAAATACTTGAAACAGACTGCATTTCCAGATGTGATCTAAATCTCCACTGAGAAAGAACCTCATTGCCTACTGAGGATCATAGAGAAAATGTACCACCGAAAATTCATCTTTTCGTTAGATTTAGAAGAAATAAAACAGTAACACTTGTATTGAAGTAAACAATCAAGGGAATAGAGAGTTGCAGAAGAGATTTACCCCAAATGCATTTGTAATAATGGATGGAAAAACTGCCTTTGCTTTGACAGCTACAGAACCCAATGTATCAAAAGAAGAACATGTCACACAAAAGAACATTTTCCTCCTCTCATGATTTCTGCCATCTATTTGAAAACAATCAAGTACAGCTTGACATGTGACGTGTGGGAACTGTATTTAAACTAGCATGACATGGTAAGGGCAAGCATCTCCCATGAGACATTTCGCATTTCTATTTTTCCATCTTCCCTTTGTGTCTTTTTTTTCCTTTTAAGCACAACATCGCATGACAGAAAGATGTAAAAAAAATTGGACCAGACAGTATGCTTCAGAAACAGGCCCTTTGGTGAACTTGAAGAGCTCAAAGAAGAGGGAATCTGGCAGCAACTGATTAAATGAAAATTCCATTGCTAAAGGGAAAAGTATTCTAATGGCACAAAACTGTAGACTCGTCTCCTACACTACTTTCTTCTCTTGCAATTGTATCTTGGGAAGGGATGTCTTGAGTGCGGCGCGGTCCCTCTCCCCCACTTTACTCACATCTGAAATTCCTGTTGTACTACATGTAATGTGATTCATTTTCAGAGTGTGGACAGAACAACTAGGACCAAAGCTATCTAAGACAGAAAGACCGAAGAGTCTTTGGTGCACCACTGGTAGTGCACTAGGATATAAATTGGTTGTCCTGAAAAAGCTGGTGTTCCTGGGCCTGAACAGGTAAGGAATTTCCCCTAAGAAAATGAAAAAGATCTTCACACTGCTTTGCCTCCCACACGTGCTTGCCAAGAACGAGGCATTTTCATCCCTGGCAGATAGCTGCACCAAGGGAAGGCTGAACTGGCGCCTTGCCAGCAATGGGCTGGAATGCACTGGCAGTCTTTTAATTCATTAACACTAAAGCGAGGAACAGAAAATTTCTTCTTGCTTGTAAAAAATAGAACAGGTCTGTCCCTCCTAACCCAACTGTTTACCATCTAATATACCAGCTCTCCCCTCCATTGCTTGACTCAGTGAAACAGGATAAAGCTATGAAGAGGCCAACAGACTTTCTAGATGTTCTCCACAGCAAAATGGAAACGAAAGGTCTAGTATGCTTGGAGACAACAATGGTGAGAGATGATGTTCTTACAGTTGGGTCAGTAGAGCTACAAGATCAGGAGTTAATTTTGGGAAAGGCAAAAAAGATACTCCAAGGCAATGTAACCTTTAACTTTGGCTAAAAGTGTCTATGTTGCTTTCCCAGAATTATTCAAGAACAGAGGTATAGCATAGGAGAGCCAGCAGGCAGGACAGGATCTGACTGAGAGGAGAAAGGAGGCTTTAGGGAAAGTTTTTTAAGATCTGAGGGAGAGGAGGGAGGGAAGCAAAACAGTGGGAGAGGAAGGAGGAAAGAGCATAAGGAAAAGCATGATTAACTATGTGCAACGATACACAGTGTGAGGGACGCAATCCAAGTACACGATTCAGTCATATGGTTTAGTCCTAATCCAGTATTTTCTGCTGCTGTTGTGCATCTGATATTAAAATGAGGATGACAGGAGAAAGAAGATTTGTTCCGCTGCCTCTGGGCCACTGATCTAATAGAAATATCCCCTTCTGGGAGAAGTCACTCCATAAAGTTCCTTTTACTGCAGGTTACAAAGATGACCCTCACCTTCATCCAAAATTCAAATTAATCAGACTTCTCCTCTTGATTAGCTAGAATATAAATGAGCATGCCTGCTTTATGCTCATGCCAAAACATGTATAACAAGAATGTGGAAAACACACAGGGTTCCTGCTGAGCAAAAAAGGTTCCAGAATAAGTTTCCTTGTACGATAACGGAAACATAGCAGTCTCCTCAAAACAGATTAAATTCCCTTTGAAGTGAACAGTGTGCATAAAGAAATAGCTGCTTCATCTTCCTGAAACCATCAAGGAATTCTACAAGAAACTGAGTTTTGTAGAAAAAAACCTTGCAACTCACAAGCTATAGCATATAAAGGACTGAATCTTATATCATTATTTTGGAATCATTTTTATATGAGTTTTGGGTTCATTGCAAGAAGGAAGTAATTTGTATAGTGAGATGAAGGCTACAGAAAAAAAATTAATTGCCCCCTTTATTCAGCTGCAATGGAGGAGAGAGTCTGTCTTTCTTTAGAAAGCCAGGCAGAATTTTCCATAACAACTCCACAAGAAAACCAAAATTCTCATCTTTCTTATTTCAATATATGCTGATGTGACACTTAATTTTTACCCCTGTGTAGGGCTCGCATTTTTGCAATTTTTAAGCACTTTCAAAATATAAACTTCAGCATAACATACCTTCCCAAACCTTGCTGTTCCGTGTGTTCTCCACAGAGGTTTGTTCCAGCTCCTAATTTTGTCTGCATCTCACACCTACATTCCAGCCTAGTCCTAGAAAGATTCACTGACTAGTAGTTGAAATCAATAGCAATTCATCGAAGCTGCCAGGGCTTCAGTTTAGGGTAATTGATTACCGCGGTCCTGCTGAGGCTCTATACTTTTAACATAAGCATTTCTCTGAGTGGTTTCCTCTGTTAGTCATTCAGTGCATGCTATTTTCA